AACCCTAAACCTAACCCTAAACCTAACCCTAAACCTTACCTTAAGTTAAATTGCGCTTCTGTCGGCGCGCTGTCGGCGCACTTTTGACATCGCGGTTTTAGCGCCGCGGTGTTGTCGGCGCGCTTTTGACGTTCGCGGTTATGTCGTGCCACGCACTAAACTACTGAGCCTGCAAAACTGCATTCCAGCCACTGTGCCACCACATCTCCCAGCCCAGCAGTTGTTATCCAAATGTATTCATGAAAAGAATATCTTGGAGATAATGCTTGGCTCTAGCTTGTGATACTTGGAGGAGATCATGGCAACAACTCTGGAAATGAATCTCAGGTTTTAAGAGCCATTTTGGCTATTAGCTATCACACTTGAAGGTAAGAAATAAAATAAAAGCTAGAGCATTTACTGTAGTTTGATTACATTCATTTTTATAGAAAAAGTTGCTTACTTTATTTTAAATCTTGTATAAAAGACAATATGATGTTCGTAATGTGAAGATGCATAACTTAAAAATATTAAAACTAATTTCTCATTGTGCCAAAGTGATTTGTTTTTAATCAAGTAACAAATCCCAAATTTGCTATTATTAAACATTCAATCTTCCTGTTTAAATTGGAGTTACAAACACATAATAGCCAAATAGCCAAATCTATTAATCTGGTATCATATACATGCAATTTAAAACTTACAGTTAATCCATTAAATCTAGATAAATTTAAGATGGTAAGATTAAGATAGCAGCCTCTGTATTCTTATACAATCAATTCTGTTCAGTTGTAAAAATCTTGAATATTTAACACTTTGGAAACCCTGTAAAAATAAACCTTTATCTGTAAATGGTATTATCAAAAACATATTGGCCCGTGAGCAATTATTTACATGATCTTAAATTAATAATTTATTCTGAAAAGGAAAACCAAGATAATATTTAATATCTTTAAAACGTTGTTTCAATTTGTCTCAGATAAATAACAGTTGCAATTTGTTATTAACTGAAAATAGGCTTAACTGATCACGAAGAATACAATTTCTATATCGCGCTTCCTATATGCATATAGTGCATATGAGCTATAGCAATTGTGAGCAATAATAATTTACTCTGGACCTCATCCCTGTATAGTGCAAAACAATTCGAGGTGATAAGAGATTAATTCTTGATAGTTGTCTTTCTTGTATTAGATGACTGTATAGCATCGTATATTTGATAATCCTGACAGGTATTGCAAAGATTAAGACTTTTATACAAAATTTCTATAAGAAAGACTAAACGTATTTCTATACAGAAAAAAGAATGCACTCCTTAAAAAACAGCAACGGTTCACGCAGTTCTAAGTAAGACTGTCACAGTATTGAGAGATTGAAACATAAGAAGCTTTCAAGGCACAGTAGAAAGCAGGTGCTACATCCGCTATGCTTTTTAAAAGTTGTTTTATTCCAAACCAAAGCCTTCTGCATTTGAAATCCCAATGGTCAACTTCTCCTTCAGCTCCTTTTTCGTCTTGTAGGGAGGCAGGCAGAGCTGGTTGAAGCAAGTATGGGCAATGGGTAACCTAAAATAAGCAAAAGAAGGCATGCATATTAAATAAGAAATAATTCATATCTTAAAAGATCACTCAAATGAGAGATATAAACGAGACTGGAAAAAAATGGATTGACTATATACAAAACAAATACGGGACCAAGAAATTCCAGTTAGCCTGTGCTTAAGATCAGGAATGATTTAAACTGTTAAAAGTTAGCTCAGCAAGAAGAAGCTAAGGTCAATGTAGAGATGTCATTAATTTCTTTATTTCTTTTTTCTCA